GTCAGTGGCAGAGGACCACCTCTCCTGCTCCCAGCTTTACTCAGTTGCCTGTAGTTTGTGTAGGGTTGAGTCCTGGTCCCTGTCCATTTTGGCATGTTTGTTGGTGTCTCTGCTTAGCTCACATTTGGGTGGTCATGCTGGGAAGAATTTACAGGTATAGATTCTGATGTTACTACATATGACGGAATCCACTTTCTGCCCCCTCCACCAATATTCTCTGAGTCTTAGGTAGGCAAGTGTTTTATATATATACATTTGGATTAGAAATATAAACACAAAGTAACAGTATACAGACTTACAGATTATATTTAGAGGATGCGTGCACACACACATATGCAATAACGAAAAAAAAAAGGTCATGAATTAAAAGAATAGAGAGGGGTAGTGAGGGAGAATTTGGAGTGATGAAAGATAAGGGAGAAACACTGTGATTAAAATCCCTCAAAGGAGGCAGACCTCACCTTTATTCCCAGTAGTTGGGACACAGAGGCAGACAGATCTCTGTGAGTTCAGGCCAGTTTGATCTACATAAAGAGTTCCAGAACAGTGCAAGGGAGGGTCTTAAGAGAGACTGTCTCAAAACACAAAATTACAATCTCAAAAATCTAAAAAAAATGCAAAAATATAGTAAACAAATAAAAAAAGATTTAAGTGGTACCAAATGCAGATCATGAGCCATCGGAGTATTATAAATTAAAACTATGAAGACAGATATCACTACATAGTGATAGTTAAAGGGAAATTAGAGAGGGATGGAGAGATGGCTCAGTGGTTAAGAGCACTGCCTGCTCTTCCAAAGGTCCTAAGTTCAGTTCCCAGCAACCATATGGTGGCTCACAACCATCTGTAATGAGATCTGGTGTTCTCTTCTGGCCTGCAGGCATACACAATACTGTATACATAGTAAATAAATAAATCTTTGAAAAAGGGAAATTAGAATAAAACTACATACCACTACATAGCTAAGGGGAAAAAAGTAGTCACAAAGCATTTACAACGGGAATATAAAACTGGTAGTACTTTAAAAAAAAACAGTTTGAAACCTAAACATGTAACTACTGTATTACCTGACAACTGCATTCTTAGACAGTTAACCCAGAAGTGAAAAATCATGCTCATAAATGGAAACATCAGAGGTTCTTTGATAGGTGAATGGTTAAACACACAACTATGACAAGCCATTCATCATTTTCAATAATGAAAAGATTATTGATTAGGAGTATATTCCCTCTATACATCTCACGGACCTCCAAGGAACTGTGCTAGTGGTAGGCCTGTGTTCCTGTTTATTTAGCATTCCTGAAGCGACAAGAAGGGACATGGGAAACATCACCGAGACAGAAGACGACAGTAAATATTAAAAGGCAACACATAGAATCCTTGGGGGATAGCATCGTTCTGTGACTCGCCTGGAGTGACCACAGAAAGCTACACATGGCAACACTATGCAGAACTAAACATGGACAACTGTACACTGAAAGTGATGAAATATTGGGGCTGGAAAATGACTTAGCAGTTAAGAATGCTTGCTTCGTTTGCAGAAAATGAGAGTTTAGTTCCCTGTACTTATGCCAAGCAGCTCATAATTCCTATAACTCCAGCTCCAAGGCATTCAGACCCTCTTCTGGCTTAGGTGGGCTTCTGCACACAGGAGGCATGCATACATATAAATTAAAAACGAAAATAAATTTTTAAAAATGAAAGGAAAAACTGGTAGAATGTGAATATGATGGACACACAATATCTATTTCAACTTTCTTAGTTGTACTGTTATATAATTATTCATGATACTAACATCAGGTAAAATCAGATACGGGGTATTATCTCTTATTAACTATTTGTATAACCTACAACACCAGAATTCATAATCAAAAGAAAAGGGTATAAAAAGCATACTATCAGCCAGTAGCAGGAGTGGAAAAACAAAACTTATGTTTTTCCTGAGAAAAATCAAGGAAGGGAGGGGAACATACAATATCCCAAAGAACCAAGTGGAGAGCCTGAGTGTGGTGGAACAGGCTTTAATCCCAGCAGATTAAAGGCAGAGACTGGCAGATCTCTGAGGAGTTCAAGGCCAGCCTGCTCTACAGAGTGAGTTCCAGTACAGCCAGGGCTACACAGAGAAACCTTGTCTCAAAAAATAAAACCAAAAACAGCTAAAAGTAACCAACAATCCAAAAGAACCAACAATCCACAATATAATACAATTATCTCCTACCCTATTGAGGTTTAACTTCGAGGGGAACTTATTCATCCTGACTTGGCTATTACTATTTTTTATAAAAATAAAGTACATGTCCATGTCTCACTAAAACCACACCATCCTCTCAGATTACAATTTCATAGAATAGGTGTTGTTCTCTTAACCATCATATCCTGAAGGTCTACCACAAAATACATGAGCCGCTAAGAACAAGAGAGTGGGATGAATTTATAAATAAAATGAGTGAGATGTCTGCGTATGCTTTATAAAATTGGTTTTTTAAATATATTCCATTGTTGTTGTTGTTGTTGCTATTTGAGAAAGGGTCTTTCTATGTATATGTAGCCCTGCTGTTCTGGAACTTTCTATGTAGACTAGGCTGGCCTCACAGAGCTCTGCCTGCCTCTGCCACCCAGCTGAATACTTATTTTTTGTGTCTAGGCATTTTCCATGCATGTTTTTACACCACATGCACGCGCCTGGTGCTCACAGAGGCCAGAAGAGGGCGCAGGATCCATCCCTAGAGACTGGAGTTACAGGCAGCTGTGAGCCATGTGAATGCTGGGAATTGAACCTGGGACATCTGGAAGAGCAACCATTGCTCTTAACCACTGAGCCATTGTTCCAGCCCCTCTGTGTATGCTTTTAAAGTTCCTAGCCAGTTATAATTTTGAAGCAGTATGCCCCCACATCCTCTTACAAGTTTCTAATGGCCAACGGGCGTCTAAAATCCAGTGCGGTGTCCACACTTTTCACCCACAAGTGGAGTGGAAGTTAACCTAACATGTGTAAAACTGCTTGTGAATTTATGTATTGCCACATGAAGTAATTCATTAAGTCACGAGGAATTAAAAATTAAGAATAACTTGATATTCAGACCTTTGAGAAAATGTTCTATGCTGACATAACAAGATTCAGCCACAGCCTTAATGTGAAGTGCATTAAAATACATATATATGCATAAAAATATCATTATTTTCAAAATACAGAATCCAACATGAGAGATTTGTGAATCATCCTGCCAAGCATAGCCTTATTTTAATTTATATATGTGAAAACTAAGGAAAGTGCCTTCCTTGTTAACGGTTGCTATAGTTAGATACAGCTGAGGCTAGAATCTGAAAGTCTCCAGAGTCTGGATTCGGGTCTCTTGCACCTAATTGGGCAAGATTCTTTGTTCTTTCTCCACCCACCACATCCCTACCCAATTCAGTAACAACAACAACAACAAAAGATGTATTTGATTTAGTTTTTAAGAGTACTGTTTTAAAGAACCCACAAAGCTGAACTCACTCAAACTTTTAAATCAGTACAATAAACCCTTCTGGAATTTTTTTTTTATGTCAAGGTCCTTTATCCCAATTTGCGAGTATTAAGTACACTATAAATGCTGCTTCCTCCATGGAAGTGGCAGAGAGGGTTCATTCGAATAGGAGTCTAGCATGTTTTGCACTTTCGCAGATTCGGCTGAAAAGATGAGCTAGTTTGCAATTTAAGGGAGGCCTTACATTTAAATTTTGCTTGACATGCTTAGTAGCAGCACTGTAATTGATCTCAACTTGTTGATTTATATCAAGAACATTTGGAAGCCTTGCTTGTTGGAAGTGAAAAAAGAAAAACTAAAGTTACAAGAAAGCACGGGAAATGGCTTTTCTTAGGCTAAATGTCCGTAGCAACGTGTTACTAAGCATGAATTTAGAGGTCCGAGAAACACGAGAAGGAACCTCGGTTATGCTTGAATCCAACTGCATGACAGCTGGGCATATTTTCACAGAAGAGGAAACTTAGTGGTTGGGTGATTAAACCATTAACCAGTAAAGCACACGGCTTACGTCTTCAGCAAGGTTCATTTCCCCTTATTCCGATCCTTATCGTCGTTTCTCTGAGTGAGGATTGACTTTTTTTTTCTCCTAAGATGAAAAGTACGAAGGAGCAAATTAATTTCAAGAGAATGAAAAATAAATGTCTTCGAAAGAGATGCTGGGGTAAAAATGAGAAATGACGTCTGATTTCAAGTATGTTGCCGGTTAGGCAGTGAATCACATTCTCCTAGGTTTCTCTGTCTATAGACATCGGCCACAGTTCTTTTCGGAACTCGAATGAGAGGAAGAGGAAGTGAATAAACCTAATATTAAATATACCTACTGAACGCGGGGATGAAGACTGGAAGAACACACCATGCATGCTTCAGCTAGGATCCAGCTGTTTGCTCACATACCTAAAGGTATGGATGCTGAGAGGGTATCTATCGAAACCTAAGGTACACCCCCCAAAAAAAAAATTCGAGAGGGCAGATGTTTCTAGAGCCAGAAACACCCCCCCACACACACACACACCCGCGCACGCCAGGACCCCGTTACAAAGTGACTGGGAGGGGACAAAATGGAGCTGAGGTCTAGGGGCGCCCTAAAGGTCGTTTGGAGGTCTAGCAGGCACTTTTGTGTGCTCAAGTCAACTGAGTCCTGGCAAAGCCCTGTACCCCCTAAAGGAAGAGTTCTCATGGCCCTCGGGTACAGGGAGCTACAGGGACGAGTCAGGCGGGGTTCTAGAAGATCCCGGAGAGCATCCAAGGAGATAGGGACAGTGGTTATCTCCCCCGAATCCGAGGAGCTTCAGGAACCAGCGGCCACTGCCGGGAAGCAGAGCGCCCCCGACCTCCAGTCAGCTCAGGTGAACAACGCGGAGCCCGCCAGGGATCTGGGACGGGGGGGGGGGGGGGGGGGGGGGGCGGGCTCCGGGGCGGGCTCCCGGGCACCGACCCAGCGGCCGCAGCCTCCCCAAGCCTAGGATCACTCACCCAAAGTTGCTGCCTCGTGCACCACGTCTCTGCCACTCGGTCCGGCCTTAAGGGGAAGGAAGCTTGCAGAGATGAACCCGCGTGCCCGCTAGCTCCGGAGGTGCCTGGCAGGGAGGGGCGCGCCGCGGAGAGCAGTGGAAAAAAAAAATAAAAGAAGCCGCAGCAGCGCGCGCGCGCGCGCGCAATCTGGACAGCCAGTGGAGGCGGGGCGTGGCGCGAGCCCGGAAAAGACGCGCCCAGAGGGGCGGGCGGAGCGGGGGCGCGCGGTGGTGTGGCTGAGCCCGCCGAATCGCAGGCGGCCGCCGGCTCGGCCCACCCACGCGCCCGCCCCCGCTCGCTGAGGACGTCATCGCCAAAGAGGCGGAGCCCGCCGTGGTGGTGGGTGCTGCGAAGGAGGAGGGGTGCTACCAAGGAATCGTGGGTCGCTAAAGGCTCCCAGGAGCCAGTGGCTACAATGCAGATCCCGCAGTGCTGGGCAGAACCTCCCGCTCCCGCGAGGGCTTGGCCCCCAAAGGCGGGAGCTGCGGAACAAGCCCAGGCCCTAGCGGGCTTCCCAGGGCTCCACCCAGGATAAAAGTTCCCCCAGGCCATCTTCCAGCTGCCCTTAGTAGATACCTATCTTTGGACTACCTCGTGCTTCCTATAGTTTGTTGGCTTCTGGCTCCTGAAAGCCTGAGCCAAAAACCACCCATCCTTAGTATTAAGATCCTTGCTCCCTCAGGCTCAAGAAATGTCTCTTGAAGCCAGGGTTTTGCAAGTCACTCGGTCAAGGCAAAAAGAGCCCACAACTGATTAAAAAAAAAAAAAAAAGTCAGGTCACTACTGCGAGATCATCTTGCTTCCTCCCCAAAGAGTTGAAAAATTATTGTTCTAAATAAAATTCCAGAGACTATCTCAGGGCTTCAAGACAGATTGTAACTGCGAATACGCCACAACAAACTGCCAAGAATATACCGCCCAAAGAAAGAAATGTCAACTAGTCTTCTAGTTCTATGACACATAAGCATAAGGGTGAACTGGCTGCTTTCTTCTGCTTATTGTGGGTGTTTTACTTACTCGTTTTCATTTTTCTTATAGAATGACTGTGTGGCACACACAAGGACGCACACAATTGCTCATCCCAGATGGCTGGCTACAGTAGCTAAGCTTTAATGTGTATCATAATCATATGTGAGGACCTAGAAAAATAATCCCCAGATGTTTTGATCTGGATCTTAAATAGGTGAAATTTTTGACTTTTGAGTTTTAAGGAGCACCTCAAAGGGCACAAACTGTTCCTGTGGTTGGCTGAGAGCAGAGCCCTTCAGTTTGTTCCTAAGCTGTTATTTCAAAGCTCTAGTGCTTTTTTTATTTTCTCCAGAGCCACCAACTTGGATACAATGTGCCCACGGCCATTTCGTGTACTTTTCCTTTCTCAAGAGTGACCTAGAAAGTTCAGGACTTCAAACAACAAATTTAATTGTCATCTTTATTTTTATGAGATCTTGTTGTAATACCAGAAACAGATAATTATTAGCTGGCTATATATTCTGCCAGGGACTTACACTGTACAGAGACCTGTCATTTATCTTCGAGTTAATACAAAAGAAATTGGAGGAACAAACATCCACTTCTGCAGCAAACTTAAAGTTTAGTTATGGAACTAAAACCCAGGTACCGTACAGACCCAGTGTTCCAAATAACTCAACCTGTCAGAGCAAGCAGGAAAAGAACTTCTAAATAAAGAAGACTTTTCTAGTTTCCGTCAGCATCAAATAGCCAAGACATTTTTAAATTAACTCTTCTGAATACAATACTCCTCAGGAGCTTACTGAAGTCCCTCCAGCTTTACGAGGTGTAAAGGAAGGGAGCTATTGGGTTTTGTTCATATACACATACATGTATGTGTTCATTATATATATGTGATATATATGACATGATATAGATACATATAGATATAGATATAGATATAGATATAGATAGATAGATATCAGACCAAAAAGCTACTTGTATTTTCAAAATCTTTATCATTTAAACTATTAATTAGTGCCCACAGTTCTTGTCAAATTTATTATCTACCAGATCTTTTCCTGCACTTTTAACCAACCACACTTAGGATAAAGAAGAAAGTAAAGCCACCTGTGCAAGAGAGAAAACCTGGTGTGGTGGTGCACACCTTTAATCCCAGCGTTCAGGAGGCAGAGGCAGGTGGATCAGAGAAGTTCTGGGTCAGCTAAGATTACACGAGACCCCGTCTCAAAAAATAAAAGATAACAAAACAAAAACTACAAACAAACAAAAATAAAAGCAAATGAAAAAAATATCTCCACAGTACCTCCAGGACCGCTTTTTTTTTTTAAAGAGCAAAACCAAGAGCCAGGAATAATGGCACAGGTCTGTAATCCCAGCACTCTGGAGACAGAAACAGATCTATGTTTGAGGCCAGCCTAAGCTACAAAATGAAAGTCTGTCTCAAGATCACACTCTATTGACTAACAATGAAGGGAAGGAAGGAAAGAGGGGAGGGAGGGAGCAGAGGAGGAAAGGAAGGGAAGGAAGCAAGAAAACACCTCTAAGACCTATGACCCTGAAGCAAAACCTTTGTCCCTCCCCCAAGCAGCTGTCTGACATTTTAGAGCCAATGCAGTTTTTTTTTAATGCCTTAGGAAGATGGGAGATTACTATCTTTGAAAGAGGGAGGAACAGATGCAAATGAAACAATCTATCCCATGCTTTTTCAGACCTAGGCCAGCTGGCCTTGGTGAGTTCCCAATAGAACATCCCCATTGTCTCAGTGTGTGGGTGGTCCTGAGTTCCTTGCTCGTGCTCCGGCTCCTTCTGCTCCTGATTTGGACCTTGAGATTTCTGTCCAGTGCTCCCATGTGGGTCTCTGTCTCTGTCTCCTTTCATCGCCTGATGAAGGACTAGCTGAACATAGCGGACAATGAGGAATACTGAGATGTCAAGAACAATGGCAGTGGGTTTTTGATCCTACTGCACATACTGGCTTTGGGGGAGCCTAGGCAGTTTGGATGCTCACGTTAAGACACCTGGATGGAGGTGGGCGGTCCTTGGGCTTCCCACAGGTCTGGGAACCCTGATTGCTCTTCGAGCAGATGAGGGAGGGGGACTTGATCGGGGAAGGGGGAGGGAAATGGGAAGCGGTTGCCGGGAGGAGGCAGAAATCCTTAATAAATAATAAAAAAAGGAAACAATCTATCCAGTCACAGAACTAGCCAGTCATAGACCTTGGAATTCCCGTCACTCCCAGGGGCTCTCTGTGAAGCACAGGCAGCAGCATCTCATCAAAATCAAATTGACACAAAGGGAGAGTTAGAAAAACATAAGGTAGAATTGTCCAGATTCAAAATACAATATAAAAGGGAAGATATACACGACAGAAAAACAGGAAAGGTACTATGGGGTGGGGGTGAGGGGACACCGGAGAGAGGAAGGAGTGAGAACAGTAGAATGGAGGGACAAATAAGAGCAAAATATGTATAAAAAGGTCATAATGAAACTTATTACGTTGTATGCTAATGTTAAAACTTCATTTAAAAGCTATTTTTTAAAAAAAATAGGAAAAAGAAAGCCTCTAGAAGCTAAATAGACTTGAACAAGGCTGCTCTGTTGGCAGACGCTGATATTTGGGCCTTGCTAGCTTTGCTCTTGTGTAATGAGAAGCTGAAACAGATAGCCAGGTTGCTCTTGGCATTAGTTATTTATGGAAGGCCAGAAAACAACTGTTCTTCACTGACTACGTACCACGTCTTTGCATCTTAAACTCACATCTTGGGTTAGTAGAATAATTCCCTCCTGGAGCCCAAATAACAAGCAGCAGTAATAATATTTGAATACACAAATTATACATAAGAGCTTGCCTTGCCATTAACAAACATTATTTTTACAGACCTAATAACTAGGCAAAATATTTGCTTTAGTGGTATGTCTGAAGCACCTAGTGAAATCAGAAACCTCAGACGATGATCTCACTGTGAACAAAATAATGAACTAAGTGACTTTTCAAAACTGGTCAAAGACAGAGCTGAAGGTACAGTTCAGTGATACCGCACTTGCCTATTAATCCTTCCTGCTAATCCCACCAATCGAGAATAAGATCACTACTTAGTAGTATAAAGCCAAATTTGAAGCAAGCTTTAATTAAATATTGGCCAGGTGGATGGACACTGGCCAGGTCCATACCTAGGTCCCTAGGACATGGCCCTGAGTAATGGTTTGCAGCAGTTTAAGAAGGAAAACCTATAACAAATTGCCTTTCCCATCTGGTACAATCAAGAGCAAGCATACATCCTGATGCGCCTCCTACATCCAACAGTCAGGGAGAAGTGTATATCCTGCCATATTGTATTTCCTGCTTGTGAGCCTCTTGCCCACATGTGAGCAAGCACGTTAAGAACGGGTGGGAACAGCAATCTTGTTTAGGGGAGTGAAAACACGTGGCTTGTTATCTACCATAAACGATAGCCTACAGCACATCAGGAACTGTGTGTCCTTGAGCAAGAGACTTGCAGATCAGAGACATTTTGCTGCATGGATCTCTTAGGCATAGTAATTAAAAATTAAAATGTGACTTTGGCTCTCACATTCCACCCTTGAGTTGTGTCCTGAGTCAAATCTTTGACTTTGTGACAGATATCTGTTTATACTGGGATCTAATAACCATCAGCTTAATGGTGCCCAGACAGGAATTATCATTTAGTTAAGGAACCAATGATGCAAGAATCAACAGTAATTAGCACCAGAAGAAGGTCCAAAGGCCCTGAAATGACTGACAGGGTTACTATCAAGAAGGAACCTGGAAATGAGATGGGGACCAGTTCTTTCCTTCATCTCAGTTCCCCTTTTATGCAATGATGCTTTTCCAAGTACAGCCAGATTATTTCTTTTTTTAAAATTTTGGTTTTTTTAATTGATATTTATTGAGCTCTACATTTTTCTCTGCTCCCCTCCCTGCCTCTTGCCTCCCCCCTTCATCCTCCCCAAAGGTCCCCATGATCCCAATTTCCTCAGGAGATCTTGTCTTTTTCTACTTTCTACTTCCCATGTAGATTATATCT